TAAACAAAATAACTTGAAAGAATACATTGAATCTGGGAAAACATGAAAACCTTTTCATCTTTTCGGTTTAACCAGTTTAGTCAATGATTACGCTTTCAATTAATTTTTGCCTTTATTTGCCTTTCCCTTTTACCTGACTCTCTATCTTGTTCAACTATTCATCCAAAACTTTGACCTTTCATCTTTTCAGTTTCCACAACATTCATTTTTGTCAACTTGAACTGAGCAATTTACTTGAGATTAAAAAAAAATTTTATTCAAAACCTTTTTTTAACCCAATATTTACCTTTTCATTATAAAATGTATAAACAAGCGAGACTTGAAATTGTTTTAATGACATGGAAAAAGGCAATGAGAATTAACCATGAAAAGTGTTTAGCTTTGAATGGGTTGAGTAAATAGTTTGAACCGATGAAAGGAAAGAAGGTAAAACTAATAAAATTAATATATTATCTGTTATCAAGTTAGACAAAGTTATGGAAGCAAAAAGTTCTGCAAAATGTTATTCTTAAAGGTTTCTTTTGGTTTACTTTTCTTTTTCTTTTGATTTTTTTTCTTCTTCTTCTTCTTGCTATGGTAAGAAGGTAGCAAGGTTGTAATGTTAAATTGTGCTTTATTTGCTCTTCATTTGTCTTTTGTGAAAACTTTGTTTCATCTCGATGTAGTTAGTTTCTTGTTGCCAACTTTTCCTTCTTAAATTTGCCTGCAGGCCAACAAGTTTATTTCTGTCAGAACCAAAGTGACTTTTCTCTCAATCTATCTGTTCTTGTCTCACATCTATTCATTTTGTTTTCCTTCTTATGGCTTGTCTTCATTCACCACCATTTGCTTCCTTATTCTTTCTCTTCTTTTACCGAAATTGATTGAATTTACTTCAGTCTCTTTGCTTTTCATAATAATCAAGTTCAAAGTACTTGTCATTAGACCTTATTACACATTATTTCTCGCCATTCAATAGTTATAACAGTTTATAACCAAGCTAGTCGAAATTTCACTTCTTACAATTAATCTTTGCACAATTCCATCGCAAAGAACTTTGTTTACATTGTTTTATAAAAATTTTTATTGCGATCGAGAGTAAAATCAGTTAAATATCAATATTGCTGCTATTTGAGTAGTGAAAGTTAGACTTTTCCAGCCTAACTCATCGTAAGATCGTAAATTAGCCATTTATTAATCTTTAATCCGAACTCTCGTATCCGGACAATATTGACTATTTGATAAAGCTTTCCAACTTTGTCGATTCTTGACCAGTGAGTTAGCAATTAGTTATAAAAGTTAGTTTCAAGTATTAAGGAGGTCGGTATTGTAATTTTCCCTTGCAGGAAAATGAAACGTTAGAGGAAAATAATTGCGTCAAGTGCAAGAAACGCAAAAAGGCTAACGATCTGAGTGTTCATTCTATGCACTGGTTCTTTCTAACCTGTGAGGAAAAATTATGTTACAAATAGTTTGATTGGAATTCCTATTAAGTTTTATAGCTATAAGCTTGAAATTTTCAGGAAATAGGGATCAGATTTGCGTCAATACTGGATTTAAATCTGAGATCGATCCGTATTATGGTTCAAAAGTTATCCAACATTTACGATTTTTTGAAATGATCGAAAATGCTCGTAAAATTCAACAAAAATTTCCAATAATTTTTCAAACTTACACTGCGGGGCGTTTTAAAAGCATGAAGTTCCAAAATTAACACATATTGAAACTTTAAGGGTCAATTAAATAATTGTGTTAATTCGGGTCGATTTGTCACTCAGAATTCCGAGCAATTAACGAAAGAATCAAAAATAATCTCAAAAAATTCAATGCTAGCTATTTTGAAAGCCTCGTGGCTAATCTCAAATTTAAAATGAACGAGGCGGATTAGAAAGGATTATCTTACATGCAAAAGAGCCTCTGATCCCTGGCTATCAATAGAGACCAACTTTGAAAATATTGATCAATTATTAATTAAATAAACGAAGAATGAACAATTTGTAACATAATTTTTCCACACAGGTTAGTTGTGTGTGCCCCAAGACTTTCATATAATGGATTATGTGGATTTCAAATAATGAAAGAAGTTGAAAGCAAATCTTGAAAAAGAAGAGTTATTGAAATAGCATCAAAATCAGTTCGCTTTTTGTAACTTTATCTTTTTGTTTCATCATGCAGAGTAGAAAATTTTGAAAAATTGAACATGAGAAAAGAGATACAAAATGCAAGGTGAAAATGTTTACGGAGATGATGACGACTGAAAGAAGGAGAAAATGAAAGGAGAAAAATAAAAGGTGAGGAAAAAGCGCTTCTTCCTATTGCTCCTTCCAAGCTAATGTTTATGTATAAAAAGGATTTGCAACTTGTTTGTCTAAGTCAGTTGGGAAATGTTGTCAAATTAAATTCTGCTGACATGCATCATTTCAATCAAAGCGTTGCCGGATAAAAGAGAGCATAAAGAAGTCAAGAGAGATTGAGTAGGAAAAAGAGAAAATCAGAGAAAATGATATGGAAGATGAACAGAAGAGGAAAAAAAAGTGATTGCAAGAAAACTATGGACATTGGATTATCAATATTCCAAAATTTCATAAATTCAGTTTGTTTCCTTGATCATCTTTCCCGGCTTCACTTTTTCATCTTCATCTCTTCCTTTTTTCACCTCTTTTGTGTTATTAATATTTAACTTTTTTTAGCCTAACAATGGCTACGAGAATAGGACAGCAAAAAATTCATCATTCCCATGATAATGTCCAAGTCTTGCTCTAACAGCTTTACTCTTTTTTTTCATTTTTGCTCAACCTTTTTACTTTTTTACATAAGAAAAATTCAAACAGCAAAATGTCTAAGAAAAGCATCATCATCTTTTATGTTCAATTTTTTCATTTTTCATTCTCTTTTGACTTATCATTTCTTTGAATATCAAAAGTTAACATTTCAACTTTATTAAACTTTCAAGATACAATGTTGCGGACTTTTTACTCCCAGCTTGCAACTTTCCTTCCTGTTCCCTCTTGCTGTTGAGTCCGTTTTTCATTCTATATGTTAGCATTTAGACGTTTATTATTTATCAATTTTGCAAACTTGAATTTCCATCAAGACGAAGGCGAAAGAAAGTGAATCTCGATTTTTTTGAATGAAACTCTTTTCTTTTCACTGTATTCATGTCGGATTTTATTTACTACTAAAAGTTTGAGAAACAATTAGTCAAACTAAACTTATCTCAAACCACAAGAACAAAGTATTAGAGATTCAATTTCAGAGACAATTGACATTAATCAAAACCGTATAAATGTTCAAGTCAAGGGAAGGCTGAAAACGCTTAGTCAACAAATTATCAGAATTAACAGTCTTGAGAAGGATTATATCTTTAAGGAATAGTGAAAAGGTATGATAATTTTTCGAGGCCTTTTTTGCACTTCTCCAAAGCTGTACAATCATTATTTACATTTTATAACTTTTTTTCATTTCCTTCTTTTCACTTTGCACTTTTTTATCTCCTAGTTCATTTCATTATGGTAATTATGATTGATATAAAAAAGTATCAAAATGCTAGGAAAAAGTAAAGCAAAGTAAGTAAAATTCATCATCAAGTTGAGGTAAAACTTGAGATAATAGACTTTTGTTTAAGCATTGATGTATTAATTAAAATGAAGGGAAACCTTAGCATAGAGATTATTAGATTTTTTCAGTTTTGAGCATTTTGTGCTAAAGTAGTGCAAACGATTTTTGTTGAATATTTAGTAAATTTTAGTGGAAAATAGTTCGAAAAATAAGGCGACTAAATGAAAGTCATTGCGATCATTTTTGTGCTGAACAATGATGACATCTAGCTTGAGCTTGATTCACTGGATCCTATGACTTGTGCCTATGAGTTTACTCATAAAAGAATGAAAGAAATACATTTTGGTCTTTGCTTAACAGGAAGGAAAATCATTGGAAAAAAAGTTGCAAGGAAATGATGAAAAATATAAAATGAAAAAATACAAAAAACTGAGCTACAGATTTAGGAGCTGTAAGCAAGGATGATGATGATGATCAGAAGATGAATAAGACAGTCAGCAAATGTCATAGAGCTGGTGATCATTTTGATGGTGAAGTAGAAAAAAAATTCTTTTCTTTTAGAAATTGGTGAGTTTGATGAATTAGCTCAAGTAAGAGACAATCCTGTTTTTTGTTCGGGTTGGGCAAAAAGAGCTTTTGGATGTGATCGAGAGAGGAAAAGAGGTAGAAGAGAAAAACTAAGCTGAATGTAAAAAAAGAAGAGATGACAATCAAGTATATATTAGTGAATTATGCGGATGCAATCTTGGAATGCTATTATAGACTTAGAGGAGTAAAGAAGGAGAAGTAAAGTAAGGAAGGCAAAAAATGCTTGGATTGATTGATTCGATAAAAGCACTTATAGTTGGGTCATTTGTGTTTGCTTCGAGATATTCAAGAACCTGTGCATAGTCATAGGAGATAAAGATGATCATTAGCATGATTGAAGTCAAATCAGCAAATGCTCAACATGAAATGCATAAAATGATGAGAAAAAGAAATGATAATAGAAATAATAAAACATTTCAATTTATTAATCGTCAACTGAATCACTATTTAAATGTAATCCATTATTCTGCATTCTTATCCACTTGATCTCATCAGTTAATGATCAAATGATTCTATAATTTTTATATTATTGCTAAGATTTTGCGAATTTTCGACTTTGAGTGATTATCTTTGAATGGTTTTGATTTTTACCAAAAGAGTAAAGGTCAAAGTAACGGCAAACTAAAATTTCCCACTGCTTCTATCGGATAAGGCTACAACTTTTTCAATACTCAATGTTGTAACTTAAAAATCAGCTTCCAATTGCTTTTGCCAACCAGTATTGATAATATAAAATGTTGAAAGATGCTCTTTGAAAATCCCGTTTAAAGTTCAAATAAACGTGTCAAACTGGAAACCCCAACTGTGCATACAACTACCCTGCGCCCAGTATTTGATAGTTTACGAAGCTCTCACAATAATATACTTCTTATCTCTCAATAGGAATTATCAAGCACAATACTTGAAGCTGGCTTTATTCATGTGAACGATAGTAACATAATAGATTATTTGGATCTTATAAAGTTTATTTCAATATTTTATTCTCTTCATTCACTCACAGGAACAGCATAATCAGATGAAATTTGCAATGAACCTTCACCATTCACAGATTGTCTTTCATCGTTTAGTTGCTTAGACCAACTGAATGTGTTACGATTGTAGATTTGAGTTGCATCGCTCTTTACAGAAAAAAATTTGAGATACACCATTGCAACAACGATTCCAGAAACCAGTCCAGTGGTAACAAATAGTACGATGATTCCATAAACCTGTCCAGAATGTGTAACTTTACTGATAATCTCAGTATTTCGTTGTTCATTCTCACTCTGTTTAGTCCTTTCGTAATTTTGACAAGTATCAGAGTGAATCAGTTTCTCATTAGCATCATGTCTTGAATATTTCGATAAATGACACATGCTCGATGTTTTGCCATGTGCTGGACAAAAATTGAAAGACTGACAAACTGTGTCATAATCGTTCCATTGAAAACAGAGAGCGGCACATTCATCAGCATTGAGATTCAGTTCAGTGTGGAACACGTCTGCTACGATCCATTTTCCAGTTAATTCAAATCTGTCCAATACTTTTGCTGTGATACAAATAGAATCAAAATTTAGTTTGCAATATTTATTCTAATTGATGCAAAAACGGATTCATTTTACTTACGAAAATAAATATCGCAGCTTTCACTATAAACGCTTGATTCATCCGTATAATAACCTGCTAAACTACATGAACCAGAACAAAATTGGAATGATTTACATGACTCGGAATTGGAACACAATGAAGCACATTTCCCAAGAGAACTCTCGAATGCTACAGATTTTTCAATATTGTTAAATTTTTTTAACGAAATTTTCTTAAATTTTGTTAGATTCTCAATTAAATAGGTACCACACGATGCTTCATGAGTTATTTTTTCAGATGAAACATTTGAAATCGTCGATACAAAGCATTCAACTCTATCAGCATAAGTGCAAAATGAAAAAGATCGACAACTATTCTCAGCTGACTGAACACATTTTCGATGGCACGAGCTTAAGTCAATAGTACCAAAAACTTGAATTGTATTAAGCTTGTCTTCCATTAGTTTGGTGTTTTGAATGATGTTTTCATATATTGAATTAGTTAAATTGTCATTGACTTTAGTTACATCTTTCACTTGGTATGGAGTCAATGTAAACATCGCGTTGTTGTTGGGGGAAACCAGTGAGATTTCAATATGAGCGAGTTTCTCGTGAATATTTTCCAAAGGTAATTCTCGACTATAACGATAAATATTCTTCAATGGTGTCATGAAAACGGAACAAGGCATGCCATTATTCTCATCTTCAATGAGTTTTACTTTTTTACCATCAATTCTCTGACACACATTACCATTTTCAGTCTTATAGAATGCGATGGCTCTGTAAATGAGACTAAAGGTTACAAAACGGAAAATGGTACATTTGTTGAAGTACTTACGTGAATGGTTCATATTTATATGAATTCGTCCTCAAACAAGCTTCTTCATCAATCATAACGCTAGATGAAGTTGCTAATGTGTCCTCAGCTAATTTCATATTTTGCATCTTAAATGCATCTATTTACCAAAACAAAACAAAATATTAGCTGATTGAACAAATTTTGTCTAAACTTTATCTTTACTTTTTATTCCTGGAAAGTCCAAAATCGTAACATAAGTAATTATCTCTTTAGAACCTATAATTGGTTCAATATTCGCGATTCTTGATGCTGAAATTGTTCCAATGTTGACAAGTGCTTCTTTAACTTTATCTTGCATTTGATAATAATATTGGTTGAAGTAATCACAAGGAATATCTAAAATATTGAACAAAAATTAGCGTATATGAATAGTTTCAATATATTTCTGCAAGATGATGAGTCACATCAAGGTAGCAACTGCGTTGAACTTGAAAAGACACGCTTTTTAAAGCTACTGAGGATTTGTCAACCTGAGAAAGATATTAAATTCGAACATAGTTTGCTACTTACCTGTGCAAGTGAAGAAGAATGCTATTGTTTTTTGGGCTTTCGGGTCAGCATAGCAGTCTCTAACTGAAAACTTTTCCATGCTATCTGAAGAACTCATCTTATAATCATAATTGAAGTAACTTTTTGTGAGGGAGGCAAGCAATTTATTCTGAAATATTTGAAGAAACGTTCACTGAAGAGAGTCAACATGACCAAAGATTTAAAAGAGCTAATTTTTTTGTTAAGTTTTGTGCGTATCTGCGTGAGCTTATAGTTTGACCATTTTATTAATATTTCTTATTCAAGTCAATTTGATCTACCAGTGAATTTTGTGTTAATCAATTTCAAATTAAAATTGCATTTATTCAAGATTTGAAAACTGAGCTAAGTTTGAGAATTAAGCCCAAAATATCTTGACGCTAGCCTCGCTTTTATAACTTATAATGTTAGATGTATATTGAATTAGCTCTTTTATATCGTGAAGATCTTGCCAATAAGCATTGAGAGTTATTTAATTCTTACATTGCTGTCATAAGCTTTCTTTGTTGTACCAACAAGTGTGTAATCAGTTCGTCCATCCTGTTGTATCAAAATATCACAATAATATTTGTTTCTCAGCAGACTTTGTTTGACTTACTGTTAGTTCACTGAAATACTGAGTTGTAACGACGTTTGGATAAGATTGGCCACCAAGCTCTGCGCCTTTATTGAGTATTTCCCAGGCATGTATTCCAATCTCATCTCGATCCCCCTAAAAATTATTTATTGTAAATTATTGTTTTTAAGTGTTTGAGGTAAAAGATGAGAATTATCAATGTTATTATTTGCATTCTTACGAAAAGTGCTGGTCCCAAGTAACGATAATTCAAATCAAAGTTGAGTAATCGATTCAAATCAAGTTTATAGTTGCCATAAGTCAATGATGAATCTTGAACTAGACCAGGTGCTGATAAACTCATCGGAGAAACTGAACATTTTCCTTCATCTGTAAATTCATATTCAAGTCCTAATTGATAATCATAAATGATATCAGTTGTAATGAGTTTATTATCCTTTCCATAAGTAGCACTTTTGCTTCGTAAGATTTGGTTCTTTTCATCAGCATAAACCTGTTAAATATCAATTTTGTTATTAAACAATCAAACACAATGATACTGCTTACTTCTTCTTTCTTCTCTGGTCCTGCATTTAAATCTTTGGCTTTGACAATAAAGTGTAATGCATGTTGAGTTAATTTTGGAAAAGGTATGCTGGTTGAAGTATAATTGAAGTATTGGGTACAAACTAAGCCAGGTTCAGGCTATAGCAATGATGAAATCCGAAGAAAAAAAGTTATTCGATGTGAAAACAAATAAAACAGCACAGGCATTCATCACATTACTCACCGTTACAATAGTATCGAAATTTTGGTCAATTCGAGTAATAGTATATAAGTCATACCAGAATCGACCTTCTGTTCGCACGTAAGATTTGTGGTCATAACCAGAAAACAAAGCCCGAGTCGGTCTTTTCAATCCTTCAAGACTGTTACCATTATAATAGAACCACACATTGAGGGTTGGATCAAGAGAAAAGGTCGCACTATGCTGTTTAAAGCCCCTGATAACAACATCTTGACCTGAGGTCTAAAATTGTATGGAATCATCAATTTCATGCTTCTTTTAATTTGCAGTGAGGAACAGTTAATGAAAAACTTACCCAGACAGGCGACAATTTATTAATTCTAAATATAACTGAAGGTCCAACCAATATCAAATGATTGGCAAAGTTATCCTTTTCTACTCCGTCCAGGAAACGATCCCAGCCCTCTTTATTTTTGTACAAAAAATGGTCACAAAGTGGATCTAAGGACAATAAAGATGTTTATCACAATCAATGAACACATATTTTGAAGATGAGACACAAACCTCTAACTCGTAATCGTTCGTAGTGCTTTGCGTCTGTATAAAATATGTCCATTGGGTCCTCTTTGCCTATTTTGGCAACTATTTTGCCTCTTATTGTTCCATTTTTAGATTGAATGTACTCATCGACTTTGATTTGCACTGAGCTATCGCTCTACATAAAATTGTGATGAGTGGATGATTGATAGGCGAACGAAATAAGGAACTTCTATTTATACTTACTTCGTCTGTAAGCTTTGCTTTTATCAACCAGTTACCATCTTCAATGTCCAATGGAAGATCAATGGGCATCACTGCAATAGTTTCAATGAAACACAAATGTAGCACAAAATGTTGTCACAGTCGATGTAGTGATATTTACCTGAATAAACTTCATTGATAATTGTTGTCCAAGTAATTACAAATGCTGTCAACAAAAGCATATTGTTTTTAATGATGGTTGAGACTGATGATACTCGACTGTTTTACCTAAATAAAAATTGCGAATGTTTAAAGCACAATTCTGGTTATATTCCTAAGAAATCAATGTGATTATGAAAACGCCCTGAATAAGCAAGCATTGAATGCAAACCATAACCAGAAATCATTTTCATTTCCTTTTATGAATTTTTAAATCGATAACCATTAGTCGACTATTATTTTTTGTGATAAAACGTTTAATAAGCTAATCATAAATATTTATCAAGATTTTCCAACAAATGTGTGAAATTGTTGAATCGTGTGCACTTGTAATGACCTTCAGAATGAAATCCATGTATTTAAAGATGACAGAAAGCAAATATTAAGTCTACATTAAACAAAACCCTCTGTAGACCGATACAAAAGTGCAATGATTCGCGAACAAATAAGCCTATGGGTGAATCATTTCATTGAAACACGCTGAATTCACACTAAACAGACATCAATTTTGTGATTCATTTCCTCAATCATTATCCTTTTTAGGAATGATCAGTCAATGGAAAAAAGTCTGATACAGAAATGCATTATCGGTTTCTCATGCAAATATTAAACAATAATAAAGGGTGTATTGTTTAAGAGAAAAATCAAGTGAGCAAAGAGTAACATTTACTTATCTACTTGTGATGGCTATGACGGTAAATGTGTTGATAAGATGAAGATAAAGTTGAAAATGGACGATGAAAAATGCATCATATTTAACAACATCTTCATCATCATAATCATCACAATCAGGTAAATAAATGTTACTCTTTTTGCTCCCATAATTTCACTCTTAAACAATGCACCCTTTAGATAAATCAGTTGCAAATCACAATAAATCGTTATTCTCTTAGATTAATTTTCAAAGGTGCAACAATTTAGGTCAACTAATCATGATTTTAAACTATTGTAAAGAAAAGTTGGTTTTGGAACTTTGAGCAACAAAACCTTGCCCAGAATTAGGTGAGGCAAAGCCACTATCGATTGAATTGCTTACAGTCGGCCGTTTTCAAGGAAGCAGATCTTCTCAAACATTGAGAAATGAATGGTCAGTTTTCTTTGTTTTGCACTCCGAAGCTCTGGACAGTTTCACGATAACTTTTTTTATAGAACTAAATATAATTTGGATAATTTTACTCTTCTTATCGCTCTTTCAGCAAGATCAACTTTAAAATTACTCAAGTTCATTCAAGATCTCTAAACCCCTGCAGTCTCAATTATTCTTTTTAGCAATATGATCATTTTTATCTCAACACTCGGTTGTGCTTAATCAGAAGTCAGATCTTGATGTTCGACCATCAAGGTCTGACTTACTGAGAAAATATCCACTCACGGGTCGAATTTGTCCAGTCTAACCTGTCATCACAACAGTTTAAGCTGAGTTCGAGTCTATCAAGGGGACTGAAGAGCCAGGACCGATAGGATATTTTACTTGGATTTCATTAAGATAGCTTGAGGTAACTATGAGCCGCGAGCTCCACATTTTTCCACCACTTTTTTCACCGTATTATGCACCATATTGTCCACCACCCATATTACCCACCATATTGTCCGTATTATCGGATGCCACATGCAAATAGATAAAGCATCAGCTCCGTATCTCAATGCATCTCTTATTTAGCTCTGATTGCTTTCAGAATATGATAATTGCACGTGGATGAGATAGTGTCAATCTTTTTTGACTAACGATAAAAAAACTGGCGTTTGTACAAATATATCTATTTTAACTGAGTTTACTGGGTGATGGAAAAAACATTTGAAAGATTTCAGATTGGAATGACAAGTTAGCTTTTGACTTTCACAGCTACTAGATTTACTTGTAGATTTACTTTATGAAATTTCAATCACTAAATGAGCTGGCAATTTTTGCCGAACTGGAAGAGATTTCGAAAAAGATCCAGATAGAGATCAAAAAAAATTTGTTTAGATATTTCATCATTAATCGGGCGCAAAAGGACAGGATATTTTCAGAAGTTTTTATTGAGGCCAGTTTGCTATATGTGCTATATGTCACGTCTATGATGATATTATGGTGGATTACATAGTGGATTACGATATTATGGTGACCTAATATTAAACAACAACATTGAGTGCACGAGGGAGCAATCCGAGTTTATACAGAAATCGGCGTACTACTCGGTGCTGTTAGTAGTGAATAAGTCTTGGACTATTAGTCGGTATTTTTTGCGACTGTTAAACGGTCAGTCATTTGACTTGTTGCTCAACTAGTCAAAAGTTAACGTGTCAAACTTAAAATGCTAGTAAATATGCTAGCACCCCTGTGCCCAATATTCTTTAGTTTTCAAAAGTTTCACATTAATCTACTTACCATTTTCTTCATTGAAAATCAAGCGCAATACATGAGCTTGTCTTTATTCATGAGAACGATATTCAAACTAATTTATTTGGTACTTCTCGTATTGATATCAATATTTTATTGTAGTCATTCATTTACAGGAATAGCATACTCAGAGGACATTTGCAATAAACCGTCACCATTCACAGATTGTCTTTCATCGTTTAGTTGCTTAGACCAGCTGAATGTGTTACGATTGTAGATTTGAAATGCATCTCTATTGAAAGAAGCAAATTTGAAATATCCTACTGCAACGGCAACTCCTGAAATCAGTCCAGTGGTGATGAATAGTACGAGGATTCCGAAAATTGTCCAAGAATGTGTAACTTTATTGATATTATTTAGTTGTTCATTCACACTGTATTCAGTCTTTTCATAATTTTGACAAGTGTCAGAGTGAATCAGTTTTACACTAGCATCATGTATTGAATATTTTGATAAATGACATAAGCTAGATGTTTTACCATGTGTTGGGCAAAAATTAAAAGATTTACACATTGTGCCATTATCACTCCATTGAAAACAGAGAGCGGCACATTGATCAGCATTGAGGTTCAGTTCAGTGTGAAACAAGTCTGCTACGATCCATTTTCCAGTTAATTCAAATCTGTCCAATACTTTTGCTGTTATACAAAGAAGTTTAGTTTGAAATAAAGTTATTATGAGTACATTAAAAATTTCACTTTACTTACGAATATAAATATTGCAACTGTCACTAAGAACGCTTGATTCATCAGTATAATAACCTGCTAAACTACATGAACCAGAACAAAATTGGAATGATTTACAAGACTCGGAATTGGAACACAATGAAGCACATTTTTCAAGAGAGCTCTCGGATGCTACTGACTGTTCAATATTATTAAATCTTTTGAACGCAATTTTCTTATATTTTGTTAGATTATCAATTAAATAAGTCTCACAAGATCTATCATGAGTTATTTTTTCAGAAGAAATTTTTGTGACAGTTGATAAAAAACATTCAACTCTGCCCGAAAAATCGCAGAACGAGAATGATTGGCAATTATTCTCAGCAGACAAAATACATTTTCGACGGCAAGAACCTAAGTCATTAGTACCAACAACTTGAATTGTATTAAGTTTGTCTTCGATTAGTTTTGTGTTTTCAATAATCTTCTCATATAATGAATTCGTTAAAGGAGCGTCGTCATTGACTTTGGTTACATCTGTCACTTGGTATGGAGTCAATGTGAACATCTCGTTGTCATTGGGTGAAGTCAATGAGATTTTAATGTGACCAAGTCTCTCGTGAATATTTTCTAAAGGTAATTCTCGACTATAGCGATAAATGTTCTTCAATGGTGTCATGTAAACTGAACAAGAAATTCCATTATTCTCTTTTTCAACAAGTTTCACTTTAGCACCATCTATCCTGTAACAAAACCCACCATTTTCAGCCTTACAGAATGCGATGGCTCTGTAAATGATACAAAAAGTTACAAAACGAAAAATGATTATTTTGTCAAATACTTACGTAAATGGTTCGTGCTTATATGAATTTGTCCTCAAACAAGCTTCATCGTCATCTACTCTAATGCTAGTTAAAGTTGTAAATGTTTTCTCAGATAATTTCATGTTTTGCATCTTGAATGCATCTAATGAACAAAACAAAAAATATCAGCAAATAGAAGAAATTTAAGGGATTTTTTTTTTACTTTTTAGTCTTGGAAAGTCCAAAATCGTAACATAAATAATTATCTCATTGGAATCAATTATTGTTTCAATATTTGTGATTCTTGAGGCTGAAATTGTTCCAGTGTTGACGAGTGCTTTTTTAACTGCATCTTGGATTTGATAAGAATATTGTTTCAAGTAGTTGCAAGGAACATCTAAAATATTGAAAAAGTAAGAATATGAATAGCTAAGAAAATTACTTCTGTAAGTCATTCAATCCATGATTCGGAAATTAACAAGGATTTGAATAACATCAAAGTAGAAAGTATCACCCATTTGGAAAAGGAGATTTTATTTGGATTTGATTCATCACTCCAACAATTTGATGGTTTTTGATTACCTGTGCAATTGAAAAAGAATTTTATGGTTTTCTTGGCTTTTGTTTCGACATAGAAGTCTTCAACGGAAAACTTTCCCATGCTATCTGAAGAGCTCATTTTAAAACCAATATCGAAATAAGTTGTTGTTAGAGAAGCAAGCAATTTTTTCTGAAATCATTAAAGGAAAATTCAACATTCAGTTGGTATAGACTTATTCAAAGAATCAAAAGAGCTTATCCAACGAACAATTTTTTTGATATTCAAGTGATCAGTTTGAGCTTGTCTTTAAACTCTGATGTTTACATCCTTCAGTCAATTTAGTCTCATTGCCTCTGTGCAACTATCAGTATCATCCGAGCTGTTTCCTAGATCCCAAAACCAAGCTCAGTATTTAGTAATTATTAATAAATTTTTTTAGGTTAGCCTTCTACATCTTGCATCTCGTTAGCTCACTTGGATCAGTTCTTTTACTTTATCTTTAAGATCTTGCCAATAAGCATTGAGAGTTGTTTAATTCTTACATTGCTGTCATAAGCTTTCTTTGTTGTACCAACAAGTGTGTAACCAGTTCGTCCATCCTGTTCAAATCATTATATTTCAATTATTATGTACTTACGAATATAATGCATCTTTAGCGATAGACTTTTTTGACTCACTGTTATTCCACTGAAATACTGAGTTGTAACGACATTTGGATAAACTTTTCCACCAACCTCCATATCTTTATTGAGTATTTCCCATGCATGTACTCCAATCTCATCTCGATCCTCCTTAAATTATTAATTTGTTGTTATTTATTGTTTTCAAGTGTTTGAAGTAAAAGATTAGAGTTATCAATGTTATTATTTGCATTCTTACGAAAAATACCGGTCCCAAGTAACGATAGTTCAAATCAAAGTTGAGCAATCGATTCAAATTGAGTTTGTAGTTGCCATAAGTGAATGGTGTATCTTCAACTATGCCAGGTGCTGATAAACTCATTGGAGAAGCTGAAAAATTTCCTTCTTGTGTAAATCCATACTCAAGTCCTAATTCATAATCATAAAGGATATCATTTGTGAGGATTTTATTGTCTTTCCCGTAAGTTGAGCTTTTAATTCTCAAGATTTGATACTTTTCGTCAGCATAAACCTGTAAAAAATCAAATCCCGTTACTATTATCTAATTGAACACAATAAAACGGCTTACTTCTTCTTTTTTCGTTGGTCCTGCATTTAAACTTTTGGTTCTGGCAATAAAGTGAATTGTATGTTGGGTTAATTTTGGGAAAGGGGCTCTGGCTTTGGCTGATGGGTAACTTAGGTACTGGTCACAAACTAATCCAGGTTTAGGCTAAGGCAATGTCGAAATGCGAAGAGAAAAAGTTTTTAGATAAGTAAATGTATATAAATTGCACAGGTGTTACACACCGTAACAATGGTATCAAAATTTTGGTCAACTCGAGCAATAGTGTAAAAGTCAAACCAATATTGACCTTTTCTGTCCCACACTGAGTATTCGTCATAACCAGAAAAATAAGCTCGACTTGGTCTTTTCAATCCTTCAAGCCTATCACCTTTGAAGTAAAACCACACCTTGAGGGTCCAACCAAGATCAGTGTAGGCGCTATGATAATTAACACCCCTAATAACTTCATCTTTATCTCTATTCTGAAATCATAAATATATTGAATCACTTGATTAATTTGGAGTTGCATAATTTTTTCAATGAGCAACATCAACATGCAAACTGAAAAAACGAAACATTCACAATGAAAGAACAGTTTTTTTATTGTGAGTAGGTAACTTACCCAGATAGGTGAATGCCCATTAATTCTGAATATAACTGAAGGTCCAAGCAAAATCAAATAATTGACAAAGGTATTGCCTATTTTAGTTAAGTAACGACTCCAACCATGATTATAACTGTAATGGTTACAAAAAGCTCCTAGAAACAATTAAGATGAGATATTCGCTCAATCAAAAACAATGCTAGGTTTTGAAGCTGTGAAACAAACCGGAAACATATAATCGCTCTTTGTTATTTGCATTTGTATAAAATATGTAAATCGGATCGTCATTGTCTATTTTAACTTCAATTTTGCCTCTTACAGTTCCATTTGCAGACTTAATGTATTCCTTGATTTGAATTTGCTTCGAGTTATCCTGCAACATAATTGAATGACTGATGAACGCACTAAATAGAAACGTAAGAAACGTTTATTTATACTTACTTTAATTGCAAGCGTTGCTTTTATCAGCCAGTTTCCATCTTCAATGTTCAATGGAAGATCAACGGGCATCACTAAAATAGTTTATATGAAATAAAAATTAGCACAAAACGTTAATACAATCGATGTAGTGAGATTTACCTGAATAAACTTCATTGATAATTGTTGTCCAAGTAATTACAAACACTGTTAACAAAAGCATATTGTTTTTAATGATGGTTGAGACTGATGATACTCGACTGTTTTACCTAAATCAAAATTGCAATTGCTTTAAAGTATAATGTTGTTTATCTTGCCACGAAATCAATTCGATGATGGAAACTCCCTGAATAAAGAGATAACTTTAGATAGGATCAAATTTTACCATTTTAGGAATTTGGTGCACTCGTGTATTATCGGATGCCACATGCAAATAGATAAAGCATCAGCTTCGTATCTCAATTAATCACTTTTATCTCTGATTGCTTTCAGAAGTTGATAATTGTTCAAATTTTCTATTATTCATGATCGATATAGCACAAATTGAATTCGATTCGAATGAAGAGTTCGATAAAGCTCAGCAGATAGTTAGCTCTTTAATAAATGATGCAATGATGGTTTCAATCTTTTTTCGCTAACTGTTTTGTAACGAAAAAAGTCAAAAACGAGTTTGTACTGGGTGACAATTAAGTGCTTAAGTAAAGTAAAGGGCTATAAAAATCGTATTGCGTCATATGATCACCCGTTCAGGTTTCACCTTTGCAAATGTGATTTATTAAATTCCTTTCTTCTTAAACTTCATTCCTGAAAATTTGGTGAAAATCGATCAAGAAATACGATTTTTATAGCCCTTTACTTTACTTAAGCACTTAATTGTCACCCAGTATTATATTTTGAATATTTTTTGTTAATTGTGCATCATTAATTGAACGTGAAAAGCACAGATTATTTTCAGAATTTTTTATTGGGTCACTGTTCAAATCAATAAGTTATTTGTCCAAATTAAAAAACTGGTTTGTCTAGACAATAATACACAAAAACCGTCTGTTTATAAAATCAATTGTAAATAAAGTGGACGGATCCAAAAGTGGGAATTAAAAGCGGAACTATTTTTTATTTTATATATATTTTTACTATAAATTATTTTGTTCTCATCAAATTGAAATCTATGTTTTATTTCAGTCATTAATTTACAGGAACAGCACTATCAGATGACATTTGCAATGAACCTTTCACAGATTGTATTTCATCGTTTAGCTGCTTAGACCAACTGAATGTGTTACGATTGTAGATTTCCGATGTATTGCTCTTAACAGAAAAATATTTGAAATATGCTGCTGCAACGACAACTCCAGAAATCAGTCCAGTGGCAACAAATAGTATGATGATTCCGAAAATTGTCCCAGGATTTGTAGTTTTAGTGATAACGTCAGTACTTGAACACCCATTCATACTCTGTTCAGTCCTTTCGTAATTTTGACAAGTATCAGAGTTAATGAGTTTCTCGTTAGTATCATGTCTTGAATATTTCGATAAATGACACATGCTCGATGTTTTACCATGTGCTGGACAAAAATTAAAAGACTGACAAACTGTGTCATAATCGTTCCATTGAAAACAGAGAGCGGCACATTCATCAGAATTGAGATTCAGTTCAGTGTGGAACACGTCTGCTACGATCCATTTTCCAGTTAATTCAAATCTGTCCAATACTTTTGCTGTTATACAAAGAAGTTTAGTTTGAAATAAAGTTATTATGAGTACATTAAAAATTTCACTTTACTTACGAATATAAATATTGCAACTGTCACTAAGAACGCTTGATTCATCAGTATAATAACCTGCTAAACTACATAAACCAGAACAAAATTGAAATGATTTGCATGACTCGGAATTGGAACATAAAGAGGCACATTTTCCAAGAGAGCTCTCGAATGATACCGACTTCTCAATTAATTTAAATCGTTTGAACTCAATTTTCTTATATTTCGTTAGATTATCAATTAAATAAGTTCCACAAGATCCATCATGAGTTATCTTTTCAGATGAAACATTTGAAATAGTAGATATAAAGCATTCAACTCTGCCAGAATAATCACAAAAGGAAAAAGATTGACAATTATTCTCAGCAGACGAAATACATTTTCTTCGACAAGAACCTAAATCATAAGTACCAACAACTTGAATTGTATTAAGTTTGTCTTCGATTAGTTTTGTGTTTTCAATAATCTTCTCATATAATGAATTCGTTAAAGGAGCGTCGTCATTGACTTTGGTTACATCTGTCACTTGGTATGGAGTCAATGTGAACATCTCGTTGTCATTGGGTGAAGTCAATGAGATTTTAATGTGACCGAGCTCCTCATGAATATTTTCTAAAGGTAATTCTCGACTATAGCGATAAATATTCTTCAATGGTGTCATGAAAATGGAACAAGGAATTCCATCATTCGTATCTTCAATGAGTTTTGTTTCATCGCCATCGATTCTCTGACACACATTACCATTTTCAGTCTTACAGAATGCAATGGCTCTGCAAATATTAATAAGACAAAAGGTTACAAAACTGAATTTTTTTGTCAAATACTTACGTAAATGGTTCATATTTATATGAATTTGTCCTCAAACAAGCTTCTTCGTCGCCATCAATCATAGCTCTAGATGAAGTTTTTAATGTTTTCTCAACTAATTTCATATTTTGCATCCTGAATGCATCTATTCATCGAAACAAAATAAAACAAAATATTAGCGATTAGCAAAAATTTTTTCGAAAATTTTTCGTTACTTTTTATTATTGGAAAGTCCAAAATCGTCACATAAATAATTATCTCTTTAGAGCTTATAATTGGTTCAATGTTTGCGATTCTTGCGCTGAGATTGTTGCAGTCTTGACGAGTGCTTCTTTAACTGCATCTTGGATTTGATAATAATATTGGTTGAAGTAGTCACAAGGAGTATCTAGAATATTGAAAAGATATTGTTTATGAATTTATAAGAAAATTAACACATTGCATAGTTCGGAAAACAATTAATGCAGCCAAAGCATGATTTGGAAATAAAGTTGGTGAAATATATCGATGTAGAAAACCGTGGATTTACATAGAAAAGTATTTTTCAAAACTATGATCTGCTTATTAGACACTTGCATGACAGCTGAACAGTTTCATACTTACCTGCGCAAATGAAGAAGAGTGCTGCGGTTTTTTTGGCTTTTGGGTTGGTGTAGCAGTCTCTAACTGAAAACTTTGCCATGCTAACTGAAGAGCTCGTCTTAAAACCAATATCGAAATAATTCGTTGTGAAATAATCAAGTAATTTTTTCTGAAATATTTCAAGAAAAATTTAGCGAATGGAGTAAACTTATGTAAAGAATCAAAAGAGCTTATCCAGCCAACAAATTTTGATCATATCGTGGTGATCAGTTGTAACTTGTTGTAAAACTGCGATTTTTACATCTTTAAGTCAATTTAGGCTCATTGCCTATGTACACCTATGATTATCATACTATTATATAGGGTGTTAAGAAAGTTTATGTAGGGGAAAAAATATCCCTCCATTGCGTAGAAACAGAAAATTATGTTTTTCCCCCCAAAATTGAGCATAAACTTTCTTAACACCGTGTAATAGCTGATTTCAAATGAAACTGAATGTGGGTGGCACTCATTATAGCGATTACATTGCTTACAGTGATTACATCGGTACTACAGTAAAACGAAGCTCAATATGGTAATTAAATCACAAAATTTTTCGCAGTTAACCTTCTAAACATTAGCTCACTTTGATCAGCTCTTTTACCTTATATTATAATATCTTTAAGATTAATATATTGGCAGTGTTGCATTCTTACATTGTCGTCATAGGCTTTCAATGTTGTACCAACAAGTGGGTAATCAGTTCGTCCATCCTGTTCAAATCAGAATATTTAAACTATATTCTTGTCCAATGGCAGATTTTGTTTGACTTACAGTTATTTTACTGAAATACTGAGTTGTAACGACATTTGGATAAACTTTTCCATTAACCTCCATATCTTTATTGAGTATTTCCCATGCATGTACTCCAATCTCATCTCGATCTTCCTGAAATTATTTATTAGCATATTGTTTACAAAAGTTTGAGAAAAAGATGTCAATTAGATGACAATTATCAGATTATCAATGTTTGTCTTCTTACAAAGAGTACTGGTCCCAAGTAACGATAATTCAAATGAAAGTTAAGCATTCGATTCAAATCAAGTTTATAGTTGCCGTAAGTCAATGATGCATCTTCAACTATACCAGGTGCTGATAAACTCATTGGAGAAACTGAACAATTTCCTTCTTCTGTGAATTTATATTCAAGTCCTAATTGATAATCATAAATGGTTTCAGTTGTTATGGGTTTACTATCTTTTTGATAAGTTGAACTTCTGATTCTCATAATTTGGTACTTTTCATCGGCATAAACCTGTCAAAATCAATTTCGTTGTTAAATAATTTAATCCAGTAATATATTTCTTACTTCTTCTTTCTTCGTTGTTCCTGCATTTAAACCTTTGGTTCTGGCAATAAAATGCACTGCATGTTGAGTCAATTTCGGAAAAGGGGTTCTGGTTTTCGCTGAAGCGTAGTTTAAATACTGGTCACAAACTAATCCAGGTTTAGGCTGAAGCAAATGTAATGCGAATAGAAAAATTATTTGATCAAAAAAAGGATATACAGTCAATTCAAAAAGTTTATCACCATCACTCAATCATTAATAAATTGAATTTTTCGCGATTTGAGGTTACTAATCAAGGGAATTAACTATGGCTACATATTCCCATAAGCATGAATTGTTGTTGTTAGTAACTAAAACAATATTGCGTGCTTTGATTAATTGATATTAGTGATCTAAATTTCGGCGTATTTTACATAATATAAGTTATTTTTCAAAAAGTTTATCACCTTCGGTATTTTTTCAGGATTTGGCTTTGAATCAAGGTAA